GGATAGATATATAGTTACATTCTCTTAATGAATAGAATGATTTGTTCTAATGGTGTTTGTAAATAGGATCTCAAGTCCGCATCTTGTACAGTAATTAACCACTAAGAAGAATATATGCAGTGTATTAATTATTGAAACTGTCCTAGTGATTTGATTTGAAACTGTCTCATTGCTATTTGTTTATCAATAAAATTATGAAAAAAATTAATGACATCAAAAATGAGATAAAAGAATATAATTACACGAGATCTGATTAAGTAAATTGTAATGAACTTATAAATAAATAAATAAATATTTTACCTATGTTTTGATCATACCATGTAGAATAATGAACATATGTAATAGGAGAAAATTAACCACAGGGAAGCAAAAGCTTATCTGAAGGTCAAGAACCTAGGTTTCCCTGAATTAAAACATGACTGTAATCAAATACACAGATAAGCACATCCATCCCACCAGCCAGAAGACAACCAAGCTTCTAACTACATGTGTTGGAAGGTTACTCTCTTCAGAGTAACCTTTACAAATCACAAAAGACAACACTCTCTTACCTTCCTAATCAAAAGAAACTCACAGTAGAAAAATCTGCCAGATTTAAAGGAAATTCAACTTGATTCTACAGATTCTTCCCCTAACTTTGTTCCTCCTAAGCCACAACTAACAAGAGAAACAGGAAATGCAGTATTTGAAAGGTGACCCTTCTCTCACTACTCTTACCTCCAACCTTTATGACATATTTTCTGGCACAATGAATTACAGGCAAGATTTACTGCATGTACTCTCTACTTCATAGTCATTACAGAAAATGACTAAATGGGCATCTCAGTGATTTCTTTAAGTTTATAGAGCAGCACAAGTAGTAAGTATATATGGCATTTGCTAATAATAGTATAGACTTTGAAGTAAGCGTGAAGCAGAATTGAGATCTAATTTTTTTGCCATTTGATCCTTTTTTTTAATTTTTTTTATTTTTGCAGTACCAGGGATTGAACTCAGGACCCTGTGCTTGCCAAGGAGGTGCTTATTCTACTGACCCATCTCCCTGGCCTTAATTTTTCATTTTTATAAGTACATGTTGCAGCACATGATTACATTCATTGTAGGGAGGTGGTACAAGTATTCTACACATCTCAATTCTTTTTTCTCACTTTATGTCCACCTCCCCCTTTTGCAAGTGTCTGAGTCATTTGTCTTACAAATTATTATAAAGTTAACTGTCATACAGATTAATAGCCAGACTAAAAGGCCCCAAAACATATAGTACAATTATACTAAATCAAGACAGGTTTTAGACACAATGTCCATCCTGGGTTATGATATGCATCCTAACTTTTATATTTACTTAGTTATGTCACATTGCAAGAATCAGTTAATTTCACTTAGCCTCAGCTTGTCTGTAAATTGAGGATAATAGTAAAACTTATTTTATGGCATCATGAAAATTGAATGTTGGGCGTGTGTGTGTGTGTGTGTGTGCATGTGTGTGTGTTTCATGGCATAATGAGTGACACATGGCAGTAGGTGATAATTATCATTATCATATTCACTAATACAAATCATAGTGACATGTGAGACATTTTCCCCTGCTAGGTAAAAAGAGAATATCCTCATTGAGAAGTGTAGCTTCATTGTAAGAAAAATATCTTGACTATATAATTAGTACCAAACTTGCCAGGGAGACAGCTCAGCAGCCTAAGTGCCTGCCTGGTATGTACAAGTTCCTAAGTTCGATCACCAGTACCGAGAAAAAAAAAACTATATCACATAATTAGTGCAAGACTTAGTGATTTTCAACTTCATAAAAACTTCCCATTTTACTAGGAATATTAAAGTTTAATCCATACTGATGGAAAAAGATATTGACTATGACCATTCATAATAGATTATTCTATTCTCATTGTTCTGTAAATTTGAATACTTGTTTACCTCATGCTTCCTATCTTGATGAACTTGATTTTCTTGGCACACTCTGCCACCAAGTTCAGAGATACATTAAGAGATGCATTCAAATATGTGTGCGTGTGATTACCTCTGTAGGTTTCACTGAGAGCCTGAGAATAAAACCGAATGCCTCTTCATATTTTTTTTAATTCCAGGAAGTTATCAGGAATTTAGTCAAAAGATATGTGGCTGCTATGATAAGAAATTCCAAAACAAATGAGGGGTTAACAGAAGAAAATTTCAAGGTAATTTATTACAAATTAATTGAATTTCTCACAGCTTCATTTTTCTTCCTCTTCCGTTTCCTCCTTCTTCTGTTGTTGTTCTTGCAGTCTTCATCGTTGTTGTACTGGGGACAGTCTTTGCACAGAGGTACATAACCAGCTTTTTTATTTTTAGACAGTCTCACTAAATTGGTAATCTGTCCAGGCTGGGCTGGACTGTGTGATCCTCTTGCTTCAGCCTTCCAGAGTGCTGGTATTACAGGTGTTCCATCATGCCTGCTTAATTGTTCATTTCTTAAGTATAATTTAATATTCACACAATGTTTGAAATCTAGTGATGGAATTTTGTCTGCTATAAAACAACAAAAAACAGCTACAATTCTTATTCTCTCTTAGAATTATGTATCATCCAGTCAATAGAGAGATTTTATCAATGTCTGTCATAGCACAATAAGTTTTATGAACAAGAGAAATCTGTCCTTTGTATTAAAATTTTGGGTGTTTCTCAGTATGAGATTTCCCATGCTTTAAACGATGCAGCAAGGAGACAATGTGAGGAGTAATAGAGCAAATGGAAAATGACTATAGATTTAAACGCCTTCTTTGCCTAAAAGATATACAGATTGAAAACGTATTATTAAATTAAATTTAATGTCTTAAGAAACTCTACTATTAAACAATAAAAATATCCTAATGTTAACCCTAGTCCCTGAAACTGTGATTCTCAATCTAGGGCAATTTGATTCCCCAGTACACACTTGATAATCTGGAGATATTTTTTGTTCTCATACTGACATCCAGTGGTTAAGAGACAACGTTACTAAATGAACAAAATAGCAATGAACAAAATAGCCTCCCATAACAAAGAATTATGCAGCTCAACATGTCAGCAGTGCCAAGGCTGAGAAACACAGCCTGGAATACACATATTCCTTTTTCTCAAAGGCACATAAAGAAACTATGATTGTAGTCCATAGATGTAACTCATCTGTTGAGAACCTATGTGCCAAGTGCATTAACAATGAAGTAGTGCTAATATTTAATTGATTCCTGTTCTTGTGGATTGATAAGCAATAATAATAATAATAATATCATAATCAGTTTAACAATAACCCACAACCATCGGACCAACTTCTAATAGAGTCTGTAAATAGCATATCATGTCTGCATCTCGTACAGCAATTAACCACTAGGAAGAGAGTATGTAATGTGTGAATTATTGAAACTGTCCTACCAATTTGATTTGAAACTGTCTCATTGCTATTTGTTTCTCAATAAAATTATGGAAAAAAATAATAATATCATAAATGATTCAGTATATAGGATAGGGTAAACGTAAGGCACTACTCCCATACAGAATTGGAGCTTGGGAAGTTGGGGTGGGCTTCCAGATACCATAATATTTAAACCAAGACATGAAGGAGGAGCTAGATAAAGGGGAAAATGGGAAAGGAAGTGTTCTGCCAGAGACAAAGGTCCAGAGGCAAAAGACCATATAACCATGCAGCGGGAGAGGGATAGTAGAGAGCCTAGGAAAAGAGAATGAAGGAAGGAAAATAGCCTCACAGGTCACAGGTCTTGAAAAGCTCTGCAGTCAATGAAACAGCATTTTTACTTTTTTCTAAGGGCACTGACAAGCTACTAATGTGTTTAAAGCAAGGGGATGACATGATCAGATTTAAGCTTTATTTTAAAAAAGCTTGTAAAGGAACAATCTGGTATCTAAGCAGACAGAGAAGACATTGCACAGGGACTTGAAATAACAGGACCCATTATCTGAGAACAGCAGTCTCATCACCTGATATTTCACTTCTGTAGTTTCATTTCTCAGGATCCTACAAACCTTTTCTTAACTTAGCCTTTTATATAGAGATAACTGTGAGAGCCAGGACGCAAATCTAACAGAGCATTTATGAGTTAATGCTTTATAAGGGATTGGTGTATTGATGTGTGCCCCAGTTGGAGAGGCTCTGAAATCAACTTTACTCACTGCATGATTTTTCAAGTAGCTACAGAATTATTAATGGATTTTTCTTGAGTAATGGGAGGTGCTTTTGGTATTATGTGTGGTATTATGTTTCTGATATTGTGGTTTGCTACTAGACAGAACCTAGAGCATAATAAACAGTATCCAATGTGCCTACCTAAAGATCAAGCTTGATGTGACATGTCTCCTCTTTTTTTCTCTAGGAATTAAAGCAGGACATTTCCAGTTTTCGCTATGAAGTGCTTGACCTTTTAGGAAACAGAAAACACTCAAGGAGAAGCTTTTCCGCTAGCAGCACTGACCTCTCTCAGAAGGATGACACCAATGATGGCAGTAGTGGAGCTCGGGCCAAATCCAAGAGTGTCTCTTTCAATTTAGGCTGCAAGAAAAAGGCCTGCCATGGGCCGCCTCTCATCAGAACCATGCCAAGAGCCAGTGGTACCCAAGGGAAGTCAAAAGCTGAGTCATCAAGCAAACGCTCCTTCATGGGTCCTTCCCTCAAGAAACTGGGTCTTCTATTCTCCAAGTTTAATGGTCATATGTCTGAACCCAGTTCAGAGCCAATGTACACAATTTCTGATGGAATCGTTCAGCAGCACTATATGTGGCAGGACATCAGGTATTCTCAGATGGAGAAAGGGAAATCAGAGGCCTGTTCTCAAAGTGAAATTAACCTCAGTGAGGTAGAATTAGATGAAGTCCGGGGCGCTGCTCAGAGCAGTGAATGCCCTCTAGCCTGTTCCAGCTCTCTTCACTGTGCATCCAGCATTTGTTCCTCAAATTCTAAACTTTTAGACTCCTCAGAGGATGTATTTGAAACTTGGGGAGAGGCTTGTGACTTACTTATGCACAAATGGGGTGATGGACAGGAAGAACAAGTTACAACTCGGCTCTAAGTCAAGTCCCTAACACCTGTCCTGGAACTCAAGAAAAAATTTGTAATTTCCTTGCTCTCAGAGGTGACATAGAGTATAAATCCCTCACTGCCCCTTAGGAGAGTAAAACTCCTATCATTTTCACAGTCTTTTATAGCTACATTCTACATTTTTGTTCTTATTTATATTATTATTTGCCTTTTTATAATCATAAACACTATGTCCATCTCATGACAACTGAAGTGGTATTGACTCTAATCATCAGAGGTGCAGTCGGGTGCTTAACCCTTTTGCTTTGCTTTGCTTTACCTACCCTTGCTTCTTTGAAGCTCCAGGTGCCACTTTGGTATTGTTGCTGCCACACAGATTCCTGACCTCCCTCAGGATCTCACGCCATGTCCCCATAGGGCTGAGAGATGTGGTCAGCAGTCCCCACCAGCTATCAGATAAGGCAAACAAACCTGCCTATCATTGTTGCCCTTCAGTGCTACACGCTGCCCATGCTGGTTCAATGAACAGCATTAACAGGGAGGCTACTCAGACTCCAAAAACTTGTCAGCTTGTGATTTCTAGGTATAACTGGCCTTTTTGTTTTGTTTTACAACACTACAACTTCTTATTGTGGAGGCTGAGTATTTTTGTTTCTTAAAGATGTATTTCTTAATGTGTGCCAATGAGATATTTTCCCTATAGTATATTGTCATATCTAATAAGTTAGATAAATTCCTTTCCTGTTTCTGTATTTCAGTTAACTTACTACATTTTAAAATTTGATAGTATTGAAATTAGTATTTAGGATGTGTACTGTTTTTTAAAACTTCTACTGCACTCTATAACCAATACTCACTACATCTCATACATCGGCAAGTAAAAGCAATTAGCTGGTACATTTATAGAGTCCTATCTACTGTTGATAGTTTTAATCATCATTGCTTTTGAAACATTTGCAAGACAAAAGACTGGATTTGAAATATTTTATCAGAAAAATGACATCTTGCTGAGGTATTGAAATCTAAGAAAAAAAAAGAGCATGCTCATTTTAATTGACTTCTGGAAAAAATCACAATTTTGCAGTTTAGATAATTCAGACTGAAATTTTAATATTCAATGGGGTAAGCAAAATTGCCTGTATAAATTTATGTTAGATATGTAACAGAGCAACCCTAGTGAACTCATGGGACTATGTGATCCAAAATGTACTATCTCCAAAGAAATCTGTATTTATACATCCAAATTATTTTCAACATCTTCACTGGAATACAAAGGTTCAAGTTAAAAAATGAAGGCACAATGCACATGGTCATCACTTTAGACCGGATACCCATGAAAAAATAATCTGAGAAAGACTGGTTTTTATCAATATTAGCAAGTTTCATCTGTGAATACTCTAACATGAGCTGAAGCACCCCTAATTCCAGCTCATGAAGGTTAAATTAGAAACACATAGCTCAGAAAAAAAGGGTGTTTCCCTGTTTCTTTTAAATTCCATCAATGGAACTCCAGCTAATTAAGTGAAATGAGGAGGTTTGCAAACAATATGAATGTCTTCAACTAGTTTATGACAGTGTAGTTTCTATTATTTGTCAAGACCCATTTGGAAAACATTTGTCTCACAGTAATTCCTTGATCATCTCCGAAGTACTACTCATTTATTCAAATCAAACTTTTCCCTTGCTTCACTAGGTAGGGCTATCGTAACAGGCTCTGACATTAACACAGGTTACTTTCCACAAGGAAGGTTTCTAAGTTACAGATTCAACTTTCCTAATTGGAAAAATACTAGAACCTGGGCTACACTCCTAAGTCATATCAATGGCATCAAAAACAACTCCAGAGACTGGCCATGGTGCTGCATACCTATAATCCCAGCTCTTGGGAGGCTGAACACAGGCGATCACTATAAGTCCAATCTATGTAGTGAGACCCAGTAGACCCTGTACTAAAATACAAAAAAAAGGAGCTCCAATGTATAACCCTCTTTCATTGAAACAGAAACATTTCTCACAAATGGATGCACTTTTTTTTTTGGTCTCTTTGAGACAAGGTCTCACTACACAGTTCAGGCTGGTCTTGATCTCACTTTGTAGACCAGGATGGTCTCAAACTTGCAATGATCCTCCTTTCTCAGCTTCCTGAAGGCTGGGATTATAGGCATATACTACCACATCCGGTTTCCTTGGCTGGCTCAGCAAGCCCAGGGGTGGGGCCAGGACATGTGATACAGGTGCACTTCTGATAATAGTTATTTTATTGGTTTGTCAGACAACATGGGAGGCAGATATAGATCATATTCTAAAATAATCTTCTCTCAGTTATATAGTAAAGAGAAAATACAAAACACAGAAACCAACATCTCCTATGGAAAGAAACCAGTGTCATAGTTCCTGAGTGTATGTTCCTTTTCTATTCTTAGTGTTACCTTTGTGACTTTAACTTAGTATTTCATTAGTTTCACTGAGACCTCATTTAGCCAAACAGCTATTGCCCTAACTTCCATTTTAGTGATGCCAACATCTTTTAAAGTATATCTCTGACAAAAGTAGGAAGAGAAAGAGATTCACATTCACTTCTTTATCTTTTTTTTTTTTTTTTGGCGGTACTGGGGATTGAACTCATGACCTTGAACTTGCCAGGCAAGCACTTATTCTACTGAGCTATCTCCCCAGCCCTTCTTTATCTTCTTGATCAGCTATTACCAAAAGAAATCTGGAATGGGGATACAGATCCGTGGTACAACACTTGCCTAGCACATGTGAGCCCTGGGATTCCTCGCCCACACTGCAAAAAGGAAATAAAAGGTATTTTAAGTAAAAAGACTTAAATATGTTCTCTGACCCAAAGAAGATATAAGGCAGCTTGAGAGTAAATTTATAAAAATGAAGAGTCACAGCTAAAATAGAACCTTGTTGCCCCTCCATGATTTACAAATAGAAAAACAGTATGTTTGCTTGTGTGCATGGGGACTGGTGTCCAGAGACAGGATAATAATTTCTTCTAAAATTTTTTAAATCACAGAAGTAAGATATTTGTTGTTAAGCATATGCGTATTATAGATGCGTAAATTAAATGGCCATTACAGGAATCCATTTTCTTCCCTTTTCCTTTTTGTTCCTTGTAGCTCTGGGAATTGAACCCAAGGCCTCAAATGTTAATTAAGCAAGCACTTGTTCATAGAACCATGTCCCCAGCCCCATTTTTCCATTTACCTAAAACACTGTAAACTCCAAAAACTTCATAATGATATAGCTAAATGTGAAAGTAAAATGTACTTCAAAGTCAAAAATAATATGTTTACAAGAATCATTTAGGAATTATCTAAACTAACATACTAAGGTTCACTTCCATTATACTTGACTTTTACACAACTTCTAGACACCTTGAATTCATTTGTTCAACCCCATAATTAAAATCTTGAAAATTAGGGAAAATACATTACAAATAAAACGTTCAAATTAGAAAGTAACCATTGTTGAAGTGTCTCCTCCACTTTTAGCTTTAAGTTCAGTGAAGTAAAGGGAGAAGATCTAAATTCAAAATTGCAGTTTTGGAAGATGCTAAAATTTACAGGGATACAAATGTTCTAGTTGAGATTTCTACTTACATGAGAATATGACAAATGTTCTATTTCTTTCTGCCTCTCCTGTCATTTCACTAATTTAGGCTATTTCAGCTAAGTCCCACATATCTAAACATTTACCTTATGAAATTTGATTAAAGGATTCTTTAGAAAATTAGAGCCTCCACCTTTTGAATGACTTCATAAAAATACTGTCTTCAGAAAGAACTTTATAGCTGTTATGTCAATGTGAACTTCCTCTGAAGATCTCAATGGGGATCCCTAAAAATACTACCCTGCGATACTTTCTCTAGAACATACTGAAATAATCATTCGACCTTCATGTTGCTTTGTAAACAAAACGCAAGTGGGTATATTTGGACTTAGTTTTAGTGACCTAGACATTTTTTTTGTCAAATCATCAGGTAAAAAGGACTTTATTGAGCAGAAATTCCTATTTGACAGTAGTAAAAATAACTGAGGGGGTCTAGGGGGATAGCTCAGTGGAATAAGCTAAGTGCCTTCCAAGGAAAGTGCAAGGTCCTGAATTTGATCCCCAGTACAAAAAAAAAATTGTTTTGGTAATAAGTTTATCCAAATATGCTAATAAACAGATTGTTTAGTCAGTGTATACTGATATAATTTTTCAGACTATTTAAATAACCTCTTCATACCTACTTCACAGGCCTCCTTTAACCCTGCAGCTTTGTCTCAAAAATACAGGTATATTAGGTTATTTGGTTTAATTGCTTCAACTATCCACTTTGTTGGTATAGAACTAGCTATTGAGAAATCAATTAGTCCCACGTTAGTATAGAGAAATACTATTTTGACTGTATTGCCAATGACAATTTTTCCAATGGTAGGGATTCTGGCTTGTTTTGGTTTTGGGGAAATGTTTGTAAAAGGGAAAATTTTGTATACACACATATGCATAATACACATATGCATAATAGCATTTGATTCATCTGACCTTGGCTTTTCATCCTTTTTGGTAATTATGAGATCATTTTTAATGGAAAAGAAGCAGACATAATTTTTCAATAGAAAGATACTGAGATGTGTTAAGGAACTGCTACAGTGAATTGCCATGACAGCATCCTCTGTAGGAAAACTGTTACACTGAGAACAGTGGCTACTTATGTGATGTGGAAAGTTGTGAAAGCTCTGTAGAGGTGTCCTATTACTACACAAATGAATGACAATTTCTGTAGTAAGACAAAGAGCCTAGTACTTTTCATCAATGTGATCAACTTCCATACATGTCCCCCAAACTCTGAAGAAGCCTTTATAGCTCCAGATAACTTTATAGAATCAAAAAAGACTAACTGAAGGTTAAAAGTGCCTAAAGTAAAGGTCATTTTCACCAATCTGCAGCACACCTTACTATTCAATTTTAGTGGATTTCACTCATAAAAGTCTAACATTTCAAGAGCTGTATTTCAGCACATGTAGACAGGTGAGCATTCATCTCCCAAGGCACTGTGCTCTGTGGTCTTTTAGTGACTTGATGGCAATATGCTCTTCATTTAAGCTTAAAGTTTAAAAAATTGCAATACTGTTACATTGGGCTTGGTCATTTTATGTCTTTTTCTATACAATTTAATGTATCTCAAAAATACTCATTGATCCCAATTGCCTTTCAACCTATAAACTCTTGACAATTTTCATATAATTCTTAAAACTGACTTTTAAAGGACAAGAGAAAAAGAATTCTCTGGATTTTTATTAAGGTTTTGGAAGATTTAATATGCTATGACAAATGTGGTTAAGCACTTTAAAACATATGACTAAATCACCAAATTACTAAACCATTTGGATATGAAACTGAAATAAAGTTGTTCAATTAAAAATGTGATTTCTAGAGATTGGGAGTATAGTTCAGTGGCACAGCAGTTGCCTACTATGTGTGATCTCCCTTATACACATAAGAAAAGAAAAAAGTGACACCTGGATTAAAGTAGTAGCATCAGCATTTTCTTGTTTAACAAAATCTAGAAGAGCGATGATAAGTGAAAACAAGCTCTGAACAACTAGCTCTGGAAAACATTTTAAATTTTAGGTAACATTTGAGTACAATTTCAGAAAGTAGCAAGTTCATATCTGTGATCTCTATATTCATAAATTCAACACAGCCAATCTACAGTAACATTTTAAATTGTGCGTTACAGATTTTTCTAAGTACAACATATTGATCAATGACTGGAAGGATTTATCCAAAGTTTACCTAGGAAATAAAATAGATCTGTTAAAACTCTATCTTAAAAAGAAATAAAAGCTAAAACTGGGAGTGGATAGTTTGGAAGAAAAGCCAGATTATCTATCTAACGCCAATATTTTGCCTCATAAGCTTAGAATAAACATAGAAAGGGGCGGGGGAGAGGGCTCAGTGGAATAAGCACTTCCCTGGCAAGCACAAGGGTCTGAGTTCAATCCCTGATTCAGAAAAAAAAAAGAATAATGATAGAAAATAAATTAACATTTTTAAGAATTTATGTAACAAAATGGATGCTGTTCTTCAAAGTAGTCACCTTAAAAAGCTGCACCCATATTCCAATGATGCTTCCATTATCCCACGTGGACCTTCAACTTTTAGGACTTTGAAATTCTGCAACAGATTCTCTGAACATCAGTGGTAGGAAGTCATGATCCTATAACCTTCAAAAAATAAAGTAATTTTAGATGTATATTCATAAAATGACTACCATTACTTGGGTAGTCAAACCAAGTAATGTCCTGGTTAAAAACAATTTTCAAGTGATATTACATAATAGAGATTTCAGTGAATTTTCAGTTATATACACTTCTGCAAACACTAAGGGCAAGATAGAGTATTTCTATTACTCCCTGAAGTTTTCTTACCTCGTTTTTGCAATGGGTATCTGGTTTTAAACATGCTTGCAGCAGAGCCAGATTTATAAACACCTTTAAGAGCAACATATTTAGGTAC